GATAGAAGGAAGTGGACTCTCTTTTCAGGAAACTAACCCTGATATGTGAACAAGAATGGGAAGGCTCCCCTAGCTAGAATGTCCTGAGTGAATGAAAATGTCTTAGAATCAGATTGGTGACATCATATCAGACTGGTTGACTCTGCAGTCCCTCTCCAATCTTCCCTGCTCATAGCTCTTTTTGTGGTTCCAGTAAAGAACTAGAAACTGAGAGGGTATCCATCAAATAAGGAATGGCCCAGCAAGTTATGGTATACTAATGGGATAGAATATTGTTGTACTCTAAGAAATAATGAAGGGGATGGTTTCTCAGAAACTTGGGAAGACTTGTATGAACTGATTTGAAGTGAAGTGAGCAGAACCAGGAAAAGTTTACACAATGACAACATGTGCGATGACAATTATAAAAACAAGCAACTTTGAAATACTTTAGAACTCTGATCAATGCAGAGACCCCCTACAGTTACAACTGACTCATGATGAAGTATAGTATCTACCTCCTAACAGAGAAGGTGATGGACTCAGGGTACTGATTGGGATAAATGTTTTTTGGACCAGGCTAATATGGGAGTTTGTTTTGTTTGACTACGCGTATTTGTTACAAAAGTTTTATTTTTCTTCTTTTTTTCAAATTTTCAGGGGAAAGGGAGTGATAGAGGGAGATAAGGTGGATTTTAACTGAAAAAAAAATAAGTAAAAAGGTTTTTATGGGGTTTTTTCCCTGCCATTTGCTCTTCCTTCTTCTTTTTTGGCCCTAATGTCTAGGGAACATTCTAAAAAGGAAACTTAGGGGAATCATGTTAGTGTTTGTAGTTTACAATCCTGCTTTTACAAGGCCTCACACAGCAGCTTCATTCCTTCATCACCAAATAAATTATAGCTCAGGTTCAAGGTTTTTAGGTTCTCACTGCTACAGATGACAGAGAGGAGATCCTGAAGACAAGCAGCAGTGAATTTACATCATTCAATCAACCTAAAGGAGACGGACAACCAAAGGAAAAATGAAAATTTCATTTTTCTAGTTGCCATTCATTTCCTGACTTTTTTGTGGGAAGGGGATCAAACCTACATCCCCTTTAGACCCATACCCTCAGAACACACATACACACATACACACACACACACACACACACACACACACACACGCACACACACACCCCAAATGCTGGAATTTGTTTTGTTTGATCCTGTATATTTGTTATACAGGCTTTGTTTTTCTTTTCCCCAAAAGCGGAGGCAGGGAAGTCAGGGAAGTTCAGAATAAGGATAAGATAGTGAATGTAAAAAGAAAAAAAAGACAATAAGGCACCTTCTTTAAAAAAAAAAGAGAGAGAAAAGAACAGAAGGAAGGCCAGAAAGAAACATAAACAGGACAGTTTTAAAAGTTACAGATTGATCTTGTATATTTAAAAATAAGATCAAGCTCTACATAATACAGATCCATAATTTCATGTATAATTCTCTTTTTCTGTTTTACTATATAGAATAAAAGTCCATTCTACTTGATGTTTATTAAGTTTAGAATTTAAAAAAAAAACAGAATTCATCAGGCTAGAATGGAAGTGACAGTTGTTTTTTAATGGCCCTTTCTATAAGAGTTAATGATCAAACAAGGGATAGAGATGATCATAAAAGTTTAAATGATAAATTTTGATTAAATAAAATTAAAGTTTTTGCATAAACAAAACTAATGCAGCTAAAATTAGAAGAAAAACAAGTAAATGGGGGGAAAGAATCTTTGGATCAAGTTTTTCTGATAGAGGTCACATGTCCAAATTACATAAGAAACTAATTTAAATTAATAAGACTAAAAGCCATTTTTCAATTGATAAATGATCAAAGAATATGAACAAGCAACATCACACAAATGATATTTTATTTTCTCCAAATTACATATAAAAACAATTTTTAACATTCTTTTTTTTAAAGTTTTGAGTTCAAATTTCTATCCTTCCCTCCCCCCTCCCTGAACTAGTAAGCAATCTGATATAGGTTATATGTGTGCAATCATGTAAAACATTTCCATATTAGTCATTCTGTGCAAGAATACTAGGAAGGAAGGAAGGAAGGAAGGAAGGAAGGAAGGAAGGAAGGAAGGAAGGAAGGAAGGAAGGAAGGAAGGGAAAAATAGTGTGCTTCAGTCTGTATTCAGACATCAGTGCTTTCTCTAGAGGATCATTGTACTGCTGAGAACAGCCAAGTCATTTACAATTCTTTATCATACAATATTGCTGTTACTGTATACAATGTTTCTGGATCTTCTCATTTCACTCTGCATCAGTTCATGGAAGTCTTTCCAGGTTTTTCTGAAGTCTGCCTGCTAATCATTTCTTATAGCACAATAACATTCCATTATAAACACATACCATAACTTGTTCAGCTATTCCCCAATTGATGGGCATCCCCCCAAATTTCCAATTCTTAGCTACCACAAAAAGAGCTGTTGTACATATTTTTGTACAAGTAAGTGCTTTCCTTCTTTTTTTTTTTTTTGGATCTCTTTGGGATATAGACCTAGCAGTGGTATTGCCGGATCAAAGGGTATACAGATTTTTATAGCCCTTTGGGCATATGAACAGGAAATTTTTAAAGAAAGAAATGTAAGCCATCAACAATCATAAGAAAAAATGCCATAAATCAATAATAATTAGAGAAATGTAAATTAAAGCAACTTGAAGTTCCATTTCACACCCTTCAGACAGGCAGAGATGACAAAAAAGAAGAAGAAGGAATACTGAAGAGGATATGGCAAAACAGACACAGTAATACATTGTTAGTGAAGCTGTGAGTTGGTCTGGATATTATGGAAAAGAATTTAATTTCCTGGAATGCCAAGAACATTGCCAAATTATGTATACCCTTAGATCCAACTGAATCACTGAGAGAAATGATTCATTGAGGACCCCTACTCAAACTCTAATATGTATTAGTTCATTATGATTTTATAAGAGGTAATGATCGTTAGTAATTATTTTAATATATTCATCTAGTAATACATATCTAGTCAATCACCTAATAATAGATATAAGAATAAACAATGTATCCATCCATACTTTGTGTAAGTCACATGGGAATATAGATTTTGATAGAAGGGTCCTATAATAGGCCTCAAATTTTAATGTAATGTTCATTACTTGCTTACCAGCTATGGAGCTCACTTGTACAACCACAAGAATGCTGACAAAGATATCTTCATCCTGTTTTACCCATATCCCATGATCAAACCAAGCATGGGTGGTGGCATGGTGCGGAAATTCCCTCCCCCCTCCCCCAGTATGTTCTTGGAGTGTATGTATAGCTTCTATCATCTCCTCCTACCTAACCTAAGGAGGAGTCCATTCATCTTGTGACCACCTAGTGAGCAGAGATATTCCTTGCTTCACCCAACTCATGACCCTGCTGACATATCATATTTGCTCATTTTAGCTTATGCATCATATGTCAACCAAAAAGATTCTATATTTTACCATGCCTCTTTTGCATATTTGGATATCAAACTCTATAAATACAAGGTCCTAGAAGAAAGAGGCATCTCAGATTATGAGGAAGATCTGAGGTCCACTAGATTAGAGGGCACCATGGAACCTTTAAAAAAGTGCCATTGGCTCAGAGCTCTGCCTCAGTCTCTTTTATTGTAGGTTGGACAATTTTAATCCCCTTTACCACTATTAGTCTTATACACCAAACAAATGAAAGAAAGGAAAAGGAGTTACATGTACAACAATATTTATAGCAACTCTTTCTGCTATAGCCCAAAATTGGACACCAAAGGAGTATTCTATTTAGGAATGGTGAAACAAGTTCTGTTATATGAATGTAATGGAATATTGTGCCATAAGATATGGTGAAATGGACAGTTTCAAAGGAAACTGGGAAGACCTCTATGAACACATGAGGCAGGAAATGAGCAAAATGAGACCAATCTATACAATAACAACTTTATAGAGAAAAATAGCTATTAAAGACTTTAGAACTCTGATCAACACAATGATTAGGGAGTCCAAAATAATGATGATGAAATGGACAACACACCTTCTGACAAAGAGATGATGAACTTGAACTACTAAGGGATAACCTCCTCTTTCCATATAACCCAGAAAATTTCAATCAGTTTTTGTATGAACAGTGGACCCCAACTCCCCGACCTTGTAAATCCTAGCTGGAATAGAATCATCACCATGTGCTTTACCAAAGGAAAGGAGTCAAACGGCATTCAAAACCTCTTCTTCAGTTAGAAATTTGGATAGAGAGGGATTGACTTCAACCTGAGGTAAATTGTCAATGTTTCAACATTGATTGATGATAGTCTGTTAAGAATACTATGGGGGACAGAGCCAAGATGGCGGAGTAAAAGCAGTGACTTGCTTGAGCTCTCCCCCAAAACCCTTCAAATACCTATAAAAAATGGCTCTAAACAAATTCTAAAGCAGCAGAACCCACAAAAAGACAAAGTGAAACAAATTTCCAGCCCAAGACAATCTGAATGGTTGATCAGAAAGCTATATCGCACTGAGTTGGGAGAGGAACACAGTTTGGCATGGGCGTGCAGGTCGCAGTGAACCTGGAGCAGGCCTCAGAGGGCTGAACTGCGGGCAGCTGTGGCAATTTCCAGAACTCTCATCCCACGAATGCCAAAGACAACCTAAAAGGTCAGTGGGAAAAGTCTGTTTCTGCGACGAGAGAGAGAAGCACGGTGGTCTCAGCTCCAGTCCCCAAGCTTGGCCCCTGGGGCAGTGGCTGCTTCCTGAGCTTCCAGCCCACAGACTGACACAGAATCAAGTGGCTGATCAGAGAGGGATTGCAGGGATCTTTCTGCTGGCGCAGTATTCTCTTGCTTTGCTCATACTTGGATCTGGGTCACAGTTCTGGGTGGCAGTCCTGGGGCGAGGAGGAGCACTGGCGTGGTGGAGCTTGTAGTGACAGTAGAGAGGAAATCCTCCTCACAGTTCCAAGACAGAAAAGAGTGCTTGTGGTCACTCATAGACCAGAGCACAGGCCAGGAAAGGAGTAGACACCTTGATCATAGCATCTTGGAAGACCTGAAAATTTACAAGTCCCTAGAAGTATCTCTGAGACTTTCTGGATATTAATGGCAGCAGGGAGATCTCTACAAAGAAAGAGGTTTCTAATTCCAGGCAGCCCATGGCATGGGCAGTAAGACTTCCTTAGAGACCACCTAGTTCAATCATCTCCTAAGGTGTTAACAGGATTTTACTGAGCCAGTCTCTAACCTGTGAATACTTGGTGCCTCACAAAGCTGACCTACAGACAGGAGTGTCAGTAATCAAGTAGCAGTTTAATTAATTAATTTCATTATAAGGAACAGATTTTCAAATTGGGAATTCTCTTGATCAGAATTCCACCTTTCTTTGGTGAAGGTGGAGATTATATACATAAATCACAAGTGGGGAAGGAGGAAGGGAGGTGGATTACAAGAACTCATCTCCCAGGGCCTGAGTGGTTCCCCACTACAAGCTCACAAGTAGGAACATTATTGTTTCAGGTCCTTGGGGGTCATTACTTGGTGGGTCACAGCACCAGAGTTCTGTGACAGGAACAAGTTCTACAATCATTGATTTGCTTCACTTAAGGTACACAGACACAAGAATGCAGTGATTGTGAGAGTGTAGTCAAGGGTTTGATTTATCATCTCAAGCTGCATTGTAAGTCTCACTCTCAAGCCAGAAGAGACAATTTGAGAATCTAATCTTTTAGTATATTCATTACATATATCCTATCAATTAATATGAAAAATCGTAATTCCCTTCACAATGGATAAGAAAATTGATGCTTGTAAAGGAAAAGTGACTTGTTCAAAGTCACCCAGTAAGTGGGCAGATCAAGAGTTACACTATGTCTTCAGCATCCCAGTCAAAGAATGCTTTGGTAGCATCTTCATATTTTTCTATAATGATGAGAAAAGATTTCCTTGATTTTAGGTTGGTCAATGCTCTCTTTGATTCTTTACTTAAGTCATGTTGTGAGAGGCTGTGAAAACACAAAGATAATACGTTCAATCTTTAGCTGAATTGCTTTATAACCCTGATGTCTGTATCCTCAGTCAAGGACCTTTTTCTAGTCACTTCTTCCTCCCATCCTTCCTCCCATGTTTTGGTATCTATAACTCTGTGTGTGTGTGTGTGTGTGTGTGTGTGTGTGTGTGTGTGTGTGTGT